TTATCTTTACAATACAAGGGTGAACAACAACAAATATTGTATGTTTTTCATAAAAATGGTAGCTAACATTTAAAATTCTGTTACAAATGATTAAAAGTATAACATTTATACTGATTCTAAATAAATCCTTATCCTTTCAAAAATTAATAACAATTGTACATTTAGCGTATTACTTATTTATATCTATGCACGACCCATGGAGAATTTTTCCGAACATCTTTTGTGCGGTAAGATGACTTCACTTTTTTGCCCTGAATTCAATGGTAAAAATAAAATTTACTTGATCCTCCTATTTTTTGAGGGACAAATATTCCTGTTGATAAAGTTGATATCAGTCTATATTGAAAAAAGAAGTAGGTAGTTGTAAAAAATTTACCGGTTTCTGTCGCTACATAGTATTGGAAATTTGAAAAAAATTCGCCAAGTTGATGTGAAGTTTGTGGGACTCCATCAAAAGGTATTCTCAAACGGAAAGATAAATAGTCGAATTTTTTTAAAAGTGCAAGAATTTTTTTATATCCACCACTTTCACTAACTTGACTTTACATGAGCAAAACAGTGACACTTTGTTTTAAATAAAATTGTCAGTGTCGGCCATTAGTTGTCGTATCCCGCTTAGGAATTTAACTAAAAAGGGGAATTGTATTTATATCGGTAGCGTTTCTTTTATATAACATACCACGACGTTTCCTATGTTTATGTTCCGCTAATTACTCCGCTACTTACCTTATTGTAATTCTAATATTTTGAAGAATTCGCCATTTTATAGAATGTGTAAGTATTGTAACATGTTTTCTAAAAACTATGATATCTTGTATTTGCCAAAGGTTCAATTTTTAGATTTTCATTGTCAATAATTAATATTATTAGAAATGTTAAATATTTTTTGTCTTTGTTATGTAGTGTATTTTTAAATTTATTGTTATTCTACTCATATATTTAAATTTCTCTTTTGTTACTGTACTTGCTTGCGTATTTGTTATATGGATTTTGTCCGTTAATTGGATACTCATCTGTTGGGCAAAATATACATTATTATTATTATTATTATTATTAATAAGTGAAAAAACTTTATGGAAAGCAAAGGGCATGTGCATCTTTTGCTTTTGGTCGCATTTCTCGAAATAGATAATTTTCACGAAGACTAACTCTTAGTCCAGTATGCAGATAATTTTAACCTTCAAAAGGTGGTGTAAAAGATTTTATTATTTTAAATGGTCCATTTGGGTCCAAATAACATGTATTTGAAGAGTACGCACAAATTTTTTCCCGGCACAACTTTTGGCAGCCTAAAAACCTCAACATTTTTGGCATTTTTTTAGTTTTTCGCTTAAAACTCGAAAACGGTCCATATTTTATGAATAACACTTCTTTAGTAAAGTAAAGGAAACAAAATTATGCGTCGATAAAAAAAAACAAAATCGGTCCAATAGAAAAATTTTTACAAGCGATCAAAAAACGCCCATTTTTTCCAACGAATTTCAAAAATTGGTACAATTTTAAATTGTTGGTACTTTTTGAACTCTCTGATTGTTGTTCTACAATCTTTAGGGAAGGGGGGTAGTGGATTTTTTCGTTCCTTTAGGAGCCACAACGCATTAAAAAAAGGTTAACTCAGTTCTTTAGAAAAGTTGGAAAAAATGGGCGTTTTTTGATCGCTTGTAAAAATTTTTCTATTGGACCGATTTTGTTGGTTTTTTTTTATCGACGCAGAATTTTGTTTCCTTTAATTTACTAAAGAAGTGTTATTCATAAAATATGGACCGCTTTTGAGTTTTAAGCGAAAAACTGAAAAAAGTCCGAACGTTTTGAGGTTTTTTGGCTGCCAAAAGTTGTGCCGGGAAAAAATTGGTGTGCACTCTTCAAATACGTGTTATTTGGACCCAAATGGACCATTTAAAACGTTAAAATCGTTTACACCACATTTTGCATGAATCGACCCTCCTGACTGCTCCGCATACTGGACTATCTGAGGAAACTGATAATTTTAGATGGGAAATATAGACAAACGTGTAATTTAGTCATATTTGATTTGATCTAACTAAACAAAGTGCTACGCTTCTGGTAGTTTGAAAGCATTGTTATAAAACAGAGTTCATATTCAGCACTACTTATGATATAATATGTGAAGTACGGTACGTTTTTCTACCCTCATTACAACCGCTACAAAAAACGATTTTTCTATTCATTGATCTTCCTAAAAAACTAGACCGATATTTCAATTTTTTGTAAGTACCGCCGTTCTTTTCATCATTGCAACTACAAAAGCAGCATTTCATAAGAAAGTTTAGCTATTTTTCCAATATGGCGGATTGACTACAGAGGAGTTGTATTTTAATTTTATTTTGCCTTTATTTTTGAGTGGGCGGGGTTTCAGCCAAGACTGCTGTACCAACCCAGCCCTCTATACATTTACAAATATCCATGCCCGAACCCGGATTCGAACCGGACCCTTGGCACCACAGTTCACACGGGCCGGCTAAGTTGTTCTATACTACTCCGGTATATACCTTACAAATTAGGAACTGCAGGAAAACCTAATTCTGAGTAGCCAGCAGAATGCTCGAAACTGATCCAAGGAAATTCCCATCTCTGTCACAGATAAAAAATTCTTACCTCAGCCCAAGTTCGCACACCCGACCTCCAGCTATGTAACTCAACGCTCTACCCCTGAGACACATATACGGTTACAACACTCCCCCCCCCCTTATGCCCCAAATATTGCTTACTCCTTGAAACTAATCCATTTTGTTCCTGTCCTCCACATAAGCAAACCCCTCCAAAATAACTTAACTGCCCAACAGCTTGAGTGTACAATATTGATTTCAATGTATGTGTTTTTTATAGTGTCACCATGCCGTCTCGATAAAGGTTACCGCTTAACACCCGACGGTAAATGCGAGTGTCCACCCGGCACCGCCCTCAACGAGAACGACGAATGCATCTTCTGTCAAATCGAAAAAGGATTTAAGATCAACGAGCAGGGACGTTGCGTCTGCGCTCTCGAGCGCGGTATGATTGTGGACGAGCACGGAAATTGCATCTGTCCTGTGGAATACGGTTATCGTTTAGACCAGCGCGGAAATTGTACGCCCGTACCTGGCGCCGAATGCGAGAATAACCACCACTGTCCCGATCATAAATTCTGCAATCCGCAAACGAAGACCTGCGATAATCCTTGCGTGCCGACAAAGTGCGGAAAGTACGCCTTCTGTAACGCGGTCAATCACCAAGCCGTCTGCCAATGTCAGTCCGGTTACTCAGGAAACCCAGAGGTCGATTGCAGTAAGTACACTCACTTAATGCGTCGAGGAACATGCACTCATTTAATCATTACAGCCCCAAGTATATTACATCATCGAACTGATTTCCCTATACCCGATATGGAAGTCAGCTGCCTGTCAGATGGCGTCCAAATACAAATCGATATAACTGACCAAGGCTTTAACGGAGTTCTGTACGTAAAAGGACACAGCAAAGATGAACAGTGTCGTCGAGTTATTACTGTACCATCAAATGAACGTTCACGAACTGAAATATTCAAGGTACAATTTGGCAACTGCGGATTAATCCATGTTAATGTAAGTATAACTGTTGCTGGTAACATTATTTGACATGTTTTTAAACAGGGTCAAGCCAGCTTTGTGCTTGTGATACAGAAACATCCGAAACTTGTGACTTACAAGGCGCAAGCTTATCACATTAGATGTATATACCAAACTGGAGAACAAAATGTCACCCTGGGTTTTAACGTATCCATGCTGACCACGGCTGGAACCATAGCTAACACAGGTCCTCCTCCAACCTGCGTCATGAAGATCGTAACGCAAACTGGCCAAGAAGTGAACTCGGCGGAAATTGGCGATAACTTAATGCTCCAAGTTGAAGTACAACCAGGCTCGATATATGGAGGATTTGCCAGAAGTTGTATTGCAAAGACGATGGGCGATAACGTCGAAAACGAGTATATAGTAACTGACGAGAATGGTTGCGCGACCGACCCCACCATTTTCGGCGAGTGGGAATATAACCATGATACTCAAAGCTTACTGGCCAGTTTTAACGCTTTTAAATTCCCGAGCAGTGATAATATAAGATTCCAGTGCAACATTCGTGTCTGCTTTGGAAGATGTCAACCGGTAAGTACAAAACCCTTCAATCATGGCTAGCAAACGTGACGGTTCTAAATTATGCATAGCACAAACTTCATCTGGGGAAGAAAATAGACAAGTATCTTTTATGTTTCGTTATATTGGATTATTTCTAAAAATTTCACATCAAATTAACATTAAGGTCGCGCTCCAATATTTCAAAATGATACGGCTTTCAGGATTGTAAGATCCTAAGATCACTATTTCTTTCCTGAGTGGCCTTCTTGAGTCTTTCTCCAATGTGGTAGATTTTCGTTTTTTAAAATCTTTCTAATTTGCATATGTCAAACATGGCGGTTCATGGGATGGGGATCTACACAAGATCTTGTTGGCTTATTGTAGTCTATCTATAGGTTTAAAATATTCTGCAAGTAGCATCTTGTAGCAATTCCTGGTTTTTCTGTCCCTCAAGGAACCTGTGCCTTGACCTATTATAGGCTTCACAGTGACACAGTATATGCACCTATTGCAACAGATGGGTTGACTGTATAGTTCCGTTTTATAACATGTTGGAAATCCACTTGCAGACTGCCACATGGATTCATGTTTCGTACACTTCTTATGTCTTAGGCTTTGCCATACGCGCATGCGCTATTCGTGCACATACTATTTGCTTCCATATGTGTCCTCAAATCGTATTCACATACAATTTGCGTAATGCTTTAATATCAGTCTTGACAGAACGTCTTTGCACTTTGACCATTATAGAATGTATTTAAATGTATTCAAACTCAATTAAAGGTACAGCTGTACTGACTCCAAAGAAATGATTCCACCCAATACCATTTTTATATCTGTTGTTACTAGGTCAATTGTCGTGGATATAACGCATTTGGAAGACGAAAACGTGCCATAGATTCCGAAAACAATACAGATGTGTTAATACCCGGCGATTTGATGAGCGGACAAGTACGAGAAGAAATTACTCTACAGTCTAACGCCATTTTAACTTTCGAAAGACGCGAACAACGTTTCGTAGATCCGACTGAAGGTATGTCTCTAGATGTTTGGGAGAATTTGTGATAACTTCAACGTTTTCAGCTCCCAACGCTCAACGGGCGGAGGATATCTGCGTGTCGATGATTGGTTTTATAATAGCCTTGGTGATAACGGCACTCTTAGCCTTGGTGGCCGTCGCGGTTGCAGTTTCGTGCTGGTTAATGGCGTATCGGCGCAGACCAAAGGCGACGGGACCTCTTCCGCATCCACCTGAGTTCCCGAATCCTCTCTTTACGACGCCCGAACCAATGGCAGAGCCCAGTCCGGACTACCTCACATAATCAATCGTAAAACAATGTAGATATTAAATTTAGGTTTTTATATAGACAATGAAGAAGAGTGTAATATGTATATTAAGTCGACCAAGACCATCTTCCTCTACTCACTGTGCCTTCGACTTAATGTAAATATTGCGAAGATGAAGCAAAGAAAAGTAATGTTCCACGCCATTGAAACGGAAAAATGGTTGTCACATTTCTATTTGGCTTCCTTTTCCATTGGCTTACTCCTTTAAGTTTCAAAGTCAAGGGGATGTACCATTAGATGGGTGGCGGTCTTAACACTAAATTTCACTAAATTATTTTGATCTAATGCCCTTGTCTGTATTTCTTAACAGTTGTAGTTTTAGTGCCTGACATAAATTGTTGTTTTAAAGCCATTGGAAGACGTAAGCGTATACATAAGACTATATAAATTGTATAAAAAGTGTGCGTGAAGAAGTGTGAATGTTAATTATGCTCAACTTTAATTGGTGCTGACTGATTTTTATTAGTAATTTTTGAGCAGTCATATTTAGTCATTCTTGTAGTATAAACTATTAAAATTAAATAAAAATTACGATGATAAAGTCTCTAGGAGGCAATGAATAGTATAAATCAAATAAAATTTGTCTTACTATTTCAAAAAGAAATTGGCTTCCTATAAATGTATAGTATACTTAACTTTATTCCTTTATTTATGTATCAATTTTTATTTAATGTCATTGTTTAACATGATTCCTTTTAACTGTTACATTTGTGATAATTGCTTTTTTTAAATAAAGTTTGTTTAATAATAATAAAAAAATGTGCCAAATTCTTGACAGAACAGCTTCCTAGCTCAAACCAAAAATCGCACAGAGTGTCTTCTAAAAAGGGTAAGTGTATGGTAGTGACAACTAACTCACTAAAACTATTACTGCTACACCCACGGTTACACGCCAATTCGTCTCGCTAATGCAAGTGCAGTCAAACCCCAATAAATCATCCACATCTTTTTTAGGCAAAAATGCTTGTTTCAAAAGTGTCAACTGGGTTAGCACCCGCACAATCGGTATGAATTGAAGATTATTAGCAGAATAATTATTGGAATTTAATTTAAATAAAAAATATGCAAATTATACAGGGTGTAGCATCTAAAACCCCTCGGATCATAATTGCTGTACCGTAAAAGATAATAATAATAATGGTATATATTTTGTTAGTATAGCACCTACAATTGTCAAAATTAATGGTAAAACCATTTTCCAATTTAGTAACATGTCATGTAAATAAATATTTATGTGTCTATAAATAACAAATCTTTAAAATATAACAAACAGAAAAAACATATAGGTAAAACAATTAAACATTAAAAAAAATAGTTTAGCCCACCAACAGCAATTCACAAGACCAGATAGCTGCGTCTGTTAAAAACGATTTGATTGTATTCCTGAAATTCTTCGGGAGTAATGCTCTGATTGTCGTTGGAAGTTTATATCGATTTAAATGCAAGTTTGATAAAATAAAAAAATATTAGAAATATGACGACGGTTATTTGCGGTATCTTTTATGGTAAAGGAAATATGACTTGCGGCAAGAAACGCCAGGAACGGACGGACTCGGACGCCACCAAGCGAAAATCTCGCGCCTGGTGCGGGGTCGACGATAGCCACGGACTGGCGGGTCGGTCACGGAAGCGTCGGGTAAACGCAACTGGAGAAACGGTAGCCAGGAATGGGACGGGTCCAGTCACGGCGGTCACTCGGAAAAAAAAACAGAATTACGACAGACTCCCACGCCTATCACAAGTGAAAGCAACAAAACACAAATCGATGAAAACGGCGGAAAATCAATTGCAGGAAAATGAACAATAATCCCCATTCATTGTGCGTTTCCTATTTATCGAAACGTCTGTTTCGAGTAGGGAGTACTGGGACTCCCATTTCGTACGCGTAGGTATACCTTCGAGCTTCGACAAGTTAAACCAAATTTGAACTGTTTTTAATTAAGTACTCGGCCTGCAGTTATCAGAAAAATATGGGGCAACTTGCAAACATCTGAAAAATTTAGAGCGCATCCAATCCAATCGAATGCCTTAACAACATTGTTAGCTTGACAACATGCTTTATAATACCGGCCGTTAGTCTATATACATATTATTGTTACTTTTTACGTTCACTTTGAGCAAAAGTAACAAAATTGCCTTAGATAAGCACACGGTAAGCTCAGGCAAAGTAGAGGTGGGTTGTCGGGGGGAATATTGGGGTTCTTATAGCTACAAGCAAAAATAAAGCAGAAGGGAAGAATAGTAATAGTAGAGGTACCTACCTAATCTGAACTACTTAGTATTCAGTAAATGTGGAGAGAGGAGGAAATACTTGCCAAAAAGGGGAAACAAGGTAGACTAAAAGATCCTTGTTCTGGTCTGGGGTGTTAAAAGGGAATAAAACACTTGATAGGGATAGAACGTAAACAATATAGTTGACGTACCCAATCAATGGTGAATTAATCCAATGATCTTAATAATATTACAAATAAGATACTGTAATTTAAAGATCTGCTCCGTCAATCTTTGAATTTCAATTAACTTTGGAAGAAAAAAAGGGGGCCAACACGTGGTCGAAGAAAATATATTGATCCAAATACGCTTCCGCAAAAACAACGCTATAATCGTTAAGTGAATACTTATTACAATTTGATGGTATCGAAGACCAAAATGTAATCAAATGGTATATATTAGTAGGGGAAATCGACGAAAATAACAAAATTATTGGAATTTTCTAATCTCTAAATGGCGGTGGACCTTTACAAATTAATTTTTCTTGCGCAATATGAGAAAATCCAAATGAACGTTTTCACTTTAAAATATCGATGTCGAAAGCACAATCCTGTAGGAAATAATGAAGTAAATCGTAAATCAAAAGTAAGAAAAAAAAACGGCACGACCTTAAAACTTGTAAGATAAGTCCGTAAATAGCGTCAGCGAAACTTGGAAATAGAAAGAGAGAAAACTTCACTCAATTTAACACAGCGCCAGTATGTCCCAAAAATGGTCAACAAATTGTTAAGTAAGTAATGGCGTGAATCATCTTGCAAGTAATAATCGAGAATGCGTCTTGCACAATGATGGTGCGGAAGAAATTAAAGAAAGTTCTGTGCACCCTCGAACAACAACAGAATGAACGATTCAAAGAAATCAATCACAAGAGAATAAAGAAAAACTAAATCTAACTAATGAATTACAAAGAAGTTACCTAGGTGGCGTAAGGATTTAATAAAGGGTTGCATTCAAATGAAAGCACCGAGCAAGGGTAAACGAGCGAAATCCAGATTATCGTATTATTGTAATCTGCACGAGAGTTTTCTACCAGCGACACAAAGGGATTAAAAATAAAAAAATAAATGTCCTTTAAAATCTTATATTTCTCTCCCTCAGGTAGTCCTGGGCTAACAAAATCGACCACAAGGACTCATATGTATATATTATATACAAAAAATGATTCAAGTACTATATAAATCAACTCAAGATAATTGTACCGATTCAACAGTATGTTCAGTCATAATACAATAATTATCATTCATAATACAATATTTATACTTTGATAAGAATTAACTGCAAATTGTAAACGGAAGTGAATAAAAAATATATCCTACACCCCACTAACGGTATATTGTACAAGCTTCATTAGAGTACGGTCATATAAAAGAGGAAGGCACCGTGCACCGCCTCACAAAAACAGAGAGGTTATGACAAGTTTGCTTGACCATTTTACAACAAAACAGAATTATCTATATATATTAAATCTTCAAGAATGTAAATAAAAAACCAACAAAAATATGCTTATTTTCTAAAAATTTATGCACATATTAGTAACAAACATAATCAATTATATAAATACTCTTTAAATTAAAAATTAAACAATCATAACTTCTCCATCCGGATGATTAGAGCCATTATTAGGCCTTTAGGCAGCCAAGCATTCGTTGTCGACAAACTTGGCGGGAAGACCTAAAAGTAATAAAATCGTACGCGTCAATGTTGATTCAGTTCCATGTCAGAGTCCAGTGTCGTAGCCAGGCCTATTGTAATGCAGCAAACAGTGAGGGAAGAGGTCGCATAAATTGGCTAAATGATCTTATTCTAAATGTTAGTAAATATGTCGCATTATGCCCTCCATAAACGAAAAAGTAATCATTACGAATCAGTCCATTAACTATTACAATTTATTTAAATATTGGCAGTGATTTTGTATGTTCAGCAAAAATGGTACATTGGTACAGACAATTAAGTATTACACATGGTATGGACTGACCGCAAATTATTCGATGGTCTTTTGCAATGTTTTTAACGTCTGGATCCCCAGACACCCAGTACTTGACGAGATTGATGCGACGATTGGTCGACTTTGTGACCGCCAAACGATGGAAACTCGGTCACGCTGGCCGTGTTCGGTGCCGCGTTTGGCGACCTTTGCTCCCACGGTCCTCCCTGTACGACAAAACCGTTTCCTTCACCTCTGCGATCGCCAGAGTTATCCAATTTGGCAAACGGAGATGCATGTTCATGGCGTTCAATGACATCTTGCAACTGTTGACAAAGAAATGCTATTAAAGTAAACGATGAGCATCGTCTTGTAATTCTTAAATTCTCTTTTAAAAAAATATACAGTGGCATATGCGAAAGTTGAAGACGGTCTTTCCTTGGGATCGGTAATTCTGGAGTCCACGGTCGAGGGTGAGGATAAAAATTCATACAAATCTGAACTTCTCTCGATCGTGATTAATAAAACAGACAAAAAAAATCCGGCGCCACCAGAAGGTGTGGCCGTTGTATGGGGGCGGCAAAAAAACGTTTTCACACATTTCTGCGCAATTTGCGAATTAAACAATTTCGAAATTGTTATTAAACTTTTAGTTCTTGCGATAGCCACTAATTTCTATTGAAATCTAAAACAACAACTGTAATGTTTAGATACTTACGAATTCTTCTTCAAGCATGAGCAAGTGGTCCTTTGCTTCGAAAACGTTATCCTCCATTCCAGTTATGATGACGAGATTCGGATCAGGATCTTCGCTTCTTGGAAATTTAATGTCTACCTTGAAGTCATCCATGATTTTGCGAATATTCCTGCCTCGAGCGCCAATCAAACGCGAATGAACTTTTGAATCAATCGTAAGCTCTTCCTTAACAAACTCGTTCAATTCATTCACAATTTTCATTATGTCTTCTTTTGCTCTGTACACATTCTCCTCATAACCGGTAATGATGATCTTTTGCTCATCGGGATCACCTACAAAATGGCGGTTAAATATTTCGGAACTAAACTGAAAAAGTAACCTACCTCTTTTGGGAAACATGATTTGTACATCGTGATTTAGACGAATTTTCGAGATTACAGTTCCTTTTCTGCCAATAATTTTCGGATGATATTCGGGGTTGACATCGATATCAATTGAATACGATCTCAACTCGCGATCCTTGCGCTCCTTTTCCAATTCGAGAACGCGCTCTTCGACCGCTGCTTTTGCATCCTCCACGTTGGCAGGCGTTCCCGTAATTTTGATAATGTCTTGCTTATCTTCAGGCGGCGACAGAACGATATGGACGTCATACCTGTCCATGAGCTTCTTAACGTCTTGACCTTTCTGCCCAATAATGGACCGGTGCAGGTCGAATGGCACATTAACGTCAATGGTGATCGGAACAATATCGAGTAGGGCTTGTTTCGCTTTCTGGCAATTCTCATTTTTGCCTGTA